GGGTGTTGATGAGGTCATTACTGGAGAACGGCCTGAGTCAGAGGGAGGTCAGCTCTCCCTCCTTGGTTCTTGTCACATGTGCTAGAAAGAATTCACATGAGTGACAGAAAGCAATGTTGAAGCAAATCAAGCAAATTTATTAAGAATACACTTGCCAACCCTAACCAGTTTGGCCAGTGGATAGAGCATCAGCCTGCAGACTAAAGGGTCCCAGGTTAGATTCTGGTCAAGAGCATATACCTTCTTTGCAGGCACATCCCCAGTAGGATGTGTGCAGGAGGCAGCTGATCAATGTTTCTCTCTCATCGATGTTTCTAACTCTATTCCTTTTCCTTCCTCTCTATAAAAAAAAATCAATAATATATATATTTTTTGAAAAAAAATACATTTGGCATAAGGCACAAGTGGGCAAGTCAGGTTGTCTGAGTGCACTGCCTGATGGGGGTTCAAGAATTTTATACATATTCCCCCTTTTGGTTTCAAGGTGCTCTGCTGGATAGACTAGATTTCAAATCCCCCTTTCACACTGTTGTGGCTTTTTCCCAGAATTTATGAGAACATCTGGTGCTTTATCTTGGCAAGTTCCAAGTTTGCTGACTTCTTTGTTCAATGGGTGAGATAAGCTTCCTCTTTTTTTTTTTTTTTTTTTTTCCCCGTATTTTACCCCTTCCCCTCCTCCTGCCTTATTCACTGTCTATATACCATCCAAATGCTTTTGGGCTTTTTGTTATTTGTCCCCCAGACTTCATCTCTCCTTAGGTTTTGTTGGCATAAATGGCATTAATTGGGTCTTTGTTCCCTATTTTTCCAGGCCAGGGTGATTTAAGCTATATATTCTGTGGTTAGAGAGGAGAGGTATAAACTATTTGCTTCTTGTGTCCTTGGTTGGAGAAGATAAAGTTTTGCGATTCACAAGCTGGCTGTAAGCTGCCCAAACTGTTTGGCCTTGTTTAATTTTATTGTTTCAGTTTCCCCATTCCACTTGTTCAGGAATTTTCCTAGCTTCTTACTAGGAAATAAATAAATTTATCTTTTGTTAAATAAGTAAATTTATTTTTTTTAGGACACTGAAACTATTTTGTAAGATAGCGTAATGATGTATATAAAACATTAAGCATTTGTCAAAAACTAATCAATTTTTATAGTACAAAGTGTAATCTTTGTTGAATGGAGACGAGACCACCCAAGAGGCAGAGACTCCTATCTGCGAGAGGTCCTGGGTTCAAATCCCAGACGAGCCCCCAAATGTTGAATGGAGACGAGACCACCCAAGAGGCAGAGACCCCTACCCGGGAAATGACTCCAACTAGCCAATTGCGGAGTCAGATGACAGACTTTATTACAGATTCGAATCTGGGCTGCCGCCGTGGCAACAGCGTGGGCCAGGAGCAGCAGCAGCTGTTACAAAGCAGTCTCCTTTTAAGCACTCTTCTAACAAGCACATTCCAAACAAGGGGGTGGTGGTCCACGGGGCTGAAGCTGATTAACCTTGTGGTTGCATGCATCAGCCAGATGACCTAATCTCCCTTCTTGGCTTGCTCTGCTATCTTAGCCTTGACTAACCCAGACTGTTGATTTGGCCTTCAGCCTTGACTAACCCAGACTATCGATTTGGCCTTCAGGTCCAGGAGGGGGAAGGAGTAGCAACTTTCTACCCTCCAGGCAAGGTCAGTTATTTTCCACTCCTCAATCTTCAATGCATGAATTCTAGGATGGAATGCAAAAAGTGGCAATATAATCCAAATGTATTTTAAAACCTCCCTGAAGAGGGTAAATAAATGTATTGCTGACCTAAAGGGTGTGGCAAAAGTAGGTTTCCACTGTGAGTATGCAAAACACAGAATTTTTTTTCTTGTATTATTGTTTCTTAATCATTGCATTATTTTTCATATGACCAACTATAAACCTACTTTTGCCCCATCCTATACATAACTTCGGAAATGAGTGGAGTTTGTAAGACTAAAGTCAAAAGGGACTGCACATAAAACTTTGATAAAGAGTTTTCCCATGAGTATATGGGTCATCAATCCTGATACTGCAATCAATGCATGTATACTGGAATTTAACAGTTCAATAAATGGATGGTTGATAGTGGGAGCCAGGTTTCTCATTATTTGAGTGGGAATTTATAGGCAAACAAAGGAATAGTCTAAAAGGATCCAAACGTTGGTAGATTGGAATTGGAGAAATCAGTATTATGATGGAGGCATTAGTAGTTTTACATATATAAATAGTTAGTAGCTTATTATTTATAAAATAATCTTATTATTTATAAATTATTAGACTACATGCATATATTTCCTTACTCTGGCCTATTACCAATAGTATCCAGTAGCAATTAGCACACTAATTTTGATTTCTGAGACCATTCTCCAATAACAGTAAAAAGGCTTCTTGACCAAATAGTTGATTAGAAGACTGGGACAGAAAATATATAAGTAATGTGGAACATCTTGTTGTATAAAAAACTAAGGAAGTTCTCATAACATAAAGTGAATAAAAGCAAAAGAAAACCACATTAAGGGTGTGAGAAGTACTAAAAGTTACACTAGAGCCAATGGAAAGGACAGCCAATGGGTGAAATTTCAAGATTTTTGAGGAACAAAATATATCAAAGTATAAAATAAAGCTCTAAGAATTCATATGATATAAACAATTGAATACACAAATAAATGGGGAGAATAGACAAATCTCCCATTCAAATAAAGCTAACTAATTTATGTAGAGACTCCACCTTTAAGAATTCATAGCATAAGTCCCCACCCTTAGATTTGGGCTGTTAATAATAACTTTCTTACAAAGGTTACACACAGTTTAGAAAGGGAGAAAAGAATGGTTAACTTTATAGTGGAGAAATCAGAGAAGCACTATGTTAAGCCAGGAGATAGAGTTAAGCCAGGTGATGATCATGACACTTTACCTCTTTGGTCTTCCAACAACAAAAACATATAATCCCAGTCCAATAATAGTGATAAAATCATCAGACAAATCCAAATTGGAGGACATTCTACAAAATATCTGACCAGTATTTTTCAAAACTGTCAAGGTCAGCAAAATAAAGAAAAATAAATGAAGGAAGGAAGGAAATAAATAAAAGAGAGAAAGAGAGAGAGAGAGAGAGAGAGAGAGGGAGAGAGAGAGAGAGAGAGAGAGAGAGAGAGAGAGAGAGAGAGATCTGAAGCATTGCCATAGACAAAGGCGACAGGAGAACTAAAAATTCTTCAAACCTGTAAAGAATTTTTGTGAGTTTATTTGAGCCAAACTGTTAACAATTGCCAGGAAGAAGAATCTCAATGGATTGGGATAATGCTCCAGAGAATGGTGGTTTTCCACCTTGTTTTATACATTACAATAAAAGGAAGAGACTTAATTGGGTTACATGAAATCCACTGGTAATAGATTAGAGAGGCAGGAGAAAGAAAAGCAGTGGGGGGGGGGTGTTGGATCTCTGGGATTGGATAAAAAATAAAATTAACATGATAATAATAATGAAGGAATTTGTGGTATCTGTCCTGTGCTCACTCCCTGAGCAGTTCAGAAAAAGGGAAGTTACAAATTACCCTGATATTTGAAGGATATGTTATCTTACATGCAAAAAGACCATATGCTCAGTTAAGCTAAGGATTGACCTTGTTAAGGAAGATACTGGCTTAGGACATGACTACCCACCATAACTGCTTTAAGTTAAAGTTTTAATTTCATACCGTCCTTGTGGTTGCATACAGGCCTTCCCAGAACTTGTCAGGTTAGCATGTGATTCCTTCCATCCACAAGCTTGATATTAAATTGATAAAATTATTCCATATTGATTAATTAATTATAATAAATGTACCATTCTAATGTAAGATGTTACTAATAGGGGAGTCTGTAAGTGGGGTATACAGGAACTCTCAGTGTTTTGTCATAATTTTGTAAATCAACTATTCTAAAATAAAGTTTATTTATTTTTTTATAAATATGGATTTATAGAAAGGACCAATTCAAAATTGGTTAGATGCCACACACCAGAGGCTTCCAGAACTACAGGGATGATAAAACAAGAATAAGAACAACAACAACAAAAACCCAAACAGAACAAACAGAAACACTCCAGACCCACTTGCCTGAAAAATCAAGGTCTCAGTTAACCAAAGATTTTTTCTAAAGAAACATATGTGGCTCAGGGTGGAGATCCTAAAGCCTGAACAAGTACCCAGACAAGAAGAAAAACAATCAAATTCAAACCCAGAGTCCCTGCCCACTGCCCTCCCTCCCCCACTGTCAAGAGCAAGGCAAAGGTCTTCATAGCTTTTTTTTCTTTATTTTTTAGCTGTGGTGATGGTAAATAGCTTAAATGATGCGAGGAGGGAAATTTTTATATTTTAACTTTCTTTTTTCTTCCCCTTTGGGGGAAGTGGAGAGACTAGTTGCTTGAGGTTAAGGAAAAAACTAATTTTTGTTGTTTTAATAGGGAAAACATAGAAATGACAGGCTGCCATGAAATGTACCCAGTTTGATCTGTGATTGAATGGCCCCCAATTCCTTAAGAGGAGGTAAGCTCTGGCACAGGTTAGGAGATGTACCAGCTTTGAGTGCTGAAGCCTCTTGGGAGAGAGAACACCAGCTCCAAAGACAGAGAATGGGGATGGTAGGGGGGACTAGAAGGGACCAGAATGGGAGAACCCTTAAGTAGTATCAAAATTAGCTGCTGTCTGCTCCCTGCTGGTGGGTCCCTGGGGTGAAGAGAGGCAGGAAGGGTGCTAGGGCTGAATGCAGAAGGAACTTGAAATGCTAGTTAAAAACACCTTCCACGAGGGTCACTGGCGCTGGGTCTTAAGAACAGAAAACCAATAGGGGCCAGTCAGTCAGAGTGCTTTCTTAGGTCATCTCCCTAAACCCCAGCTCAGTCTGGAGGACGATGAACATTGTCCAAACTTGGGATAGGGCTGGTGACCAATTTCTGGCACTAGGCTCCATGGAGAGGGGCGGGCATGGTGGGTGGGCTTCCATCCTCCCTGGCTTCACTTCCCCTCCTCCCTGTCAGCCCAGCCCCTGCCCCCACCAGGTCCATTGCAGAGCAGCACCCAGTTGTTATCTTGCAGGCCCAGGAGTCTCTCAATGGACTGGGCTGCAGCATATCCAGTAGGAGCATCCCTAAGTCCGGTTATGGTGGTAGGGCTTAGGGTGCCAGTGGCAGAGTGACACATGGCCCCTCTTTCTTATAAGGATCATTGTGGTAGAGGGAGTCTCGGCTCCAGCGGGAGTCTGTGGTCCGAACACCGAACGCTTTAATGATGCCCTTGAAGTGGTGACAGGTACACTTGAGGGCAGCCAGGACCCGGTGGGCAGGAAGCTGAAGATCTTGACCAGCATATGCTCAGAAAGCAGAAGCATGTCCTGCCGTGGCTTCAGCAGCCTCTAAATCTTGAAGCTGATTCCAGGAAGTCGTGTGACATCTGCCAGTATGGGAGGCACAGGGAGGTGTCTGCTGTGCTCTCAGTGTCATCTGGGCCTGGTGCAGTGGCTGGTGAGTCTGCTGGGGGTGGCTCAGGAGGCCCATCTGGCCCCCAGGACGGGAGGAAGAAGAGATGGCCAGGTGGGGGTAGCTCCTCAGGATTGACCGTCAGGCACACTGTCTCCTCCTTCACATTCTTCGTACCATCCTTGCCAAAGAAGATGCACTCCTCCACTATGCCTGTCACCACCACATCCAGATGTAAGCCAGATGCTCAGCAGTCCCAGGCAGGGGATGACAGGGGTGCTGGGGGAGTGTCCTCGGGCCTGGCAGGGGCTGGAGCCTCCCCCTCACTGGCTTCGGTCCGTTCTGGCCAGAAGGAACTCCACATTGCTAGGGAAGGCATCCCGAGAGAGACTGATTAGCTGGTACAGGTCACAGGTAATCTTTTCCTTGGATTAGGCCCCTAGTCTGGGCTGCCTAGGTAGGTCCAGCCTGGCTGGCCTCCACTCCCATTGGACAACCTGCCATCTGGTGCACAGGGCTCTCGGCCATTGGAGATACGGATGCCTGGCCCAGGCATCTTACGGAGGCCCTCGGCTGGAGGATTGTCCTTCCGGGCTTCAAAATGAGCCACCGCCTCAGCCACATGGCTGTAATCCCGCCACCAGACTACCGTTCAGACCCCAGCCCCTTGGCAGAACCACCCTCCTCTGCTGACACAGGCGCTGGGGTACCTGGGTGTGGATAGTTCTGCAGGGCAGCCTGCTTTTCCAACAGGGCCACCATCTCAGCCACAGAGAGCAGGTCCACAGCCTCACTGGCTGCCCTCCTGGGTCCGGTGGAGCATTAGTAGGCTCAAGACAGCGCCTCCTCTGCTTGACTTTGGAACTGTCACTGCCCCAGTGCCTCTTGACCTTCATGGGGTTGGCCCGGCTGCCGCCACCACACTGGTGGGCCACAAAGAAGGCTACCTTCTCCTTTGTATTCTCAGGCTTGATTGACATACCACATGTCCAACAGGACTGATCCTCATCACCAGCAGATGCTGCTGGGAGGAAGGGACCTTCGTGGCTAAGGCAGATGGTGTGTTCTCTTAGTGGGCAGGCCCATGGTCTGGCTCAAGCCTGCTGCCTGACTCAGAACAGGCTGAGGGCTTGAGGGTTGAAGGTGGGCATGGCTGGTTTCGTGAGTAGGTGCCAAAGGGTCGAGGGCACCACAGCTGGAAGGGCAGGAGGCCGCCGCGGTCCATTCTGGGGAATGGTGGCAGACAGGCAGGGGATCACTGCATCTCAGGACTTGGATGGTGGTGGGGTACTCCACAGGCCACTATCTCCCCACGCTGAAGCTCCCTCAGATACACCAGTTTCCCCCCTCTCCTAAAAGAAAGAGCTCCTACCATTTGCAACAACATGTAAGGAGATGTAGAGCATTATGTTAAGTGAAATAAGCCAGGCAGAGAAAGATAAATATCACATGATCTAAACTTTATTTATTTTTTAAAAAATCTGTCCCCAGGAGCTAAGAAAAGAACTTCTAAGAAGTCAGATTTATTTTTATTTTTATTTATTTATTTATTTATTTATTTATTTATTTATTTTTATTTTTTTGTTAATCCTCACCAGAGGATTTTTCCCCCCTTGCTTTGTAGTGAGAATGGAAGGGAGGGGAGGAGGGAGAGAGAGAGAGAGAGAAACATCAAAGTGAGAGAGGAACATCGTCAACTGGTTGTCTCTCTCATGCTCCAAGAGTACCCTTAACTGGGAATGGAATCAGCGACCCTTCTGGTGTGTGGGCCAATAATTTAAACACTGAGCACACGAGCAGAGCAAGAAACAGTTAGCTTTAGAAAACAAAATAACAACAATCAAGTCACTAAATACATTTTACTTTGGTTTGTCATGGATTTGAGGAAGTTTTGAGTACAGGTCTAAAGACAAGTGATAACAATCACAGGTGTTCACAAAGTCCTCAATATTTTTCCAATTCACTAACCACCATAGGCAGGTGCTAACATAATCTGGCAGCTGCCAACACCAGAAGGTGTCATATCCCATGAGTAAAAAATAATGAGTATGTATTCACTAACAAATAAAACTAGATCATCTCCATTAGTTGGTAATTCTCTTTATATTAATAGCAATATACATTGCCATGTGGAAAGGGATTTTTATACCTATTTTTCTCATCTGGAACCTCAGTCAACAGTGCAAGGCTTCCTGTAATAGGAAATAAGAGTAACATTTATTTATATGCATGATTTATAACTATTTTCTTTGTTTTATGTAGGATTCTTTGGGGACTTTTGTCAGGTTTGTGTGCTAAGAGGCTAATGACTCTTTTTCTTATGTATGTACTTTGCTACAGGAAGAGAATGTTTATGAGAGATAAAAGTTAAAGGCCAAATAAAGATTTGAGAAAATTATTATAGTTAAGCCTCCATTTGTGTGGTTTTTCTTTTTTGAAAAATTATTTTGGGAAGGAATATATATATTTGGTATTGCACTTGGGAAAATTTACTATTTATGAAATGGACGTTCACTTCCTTTTCTTTTCATATTCTAGAAAGTAATCTTTGCCATGTGTACAGGTATATAGCTTCCAGTGCAATAAATTCATGGTCTTGCAGAAAGCCTTCAGTGTTCTCTTATTATTTCTATGATTCTCTGGTCTATGCCAGCTCTTTATTAGGTATAGCTATATGCTAAAAGCAAATATAGCATTATTACTCTGTACTATTTTTCAAGACACAGTTGTCCAGATCATTTTCTCTAAAATAGTTTAGTCTTTTTATAAATATATTTTTAAACATAATACCCACATTTTAAAAATATAATAAAATAATAATTTTCAAAAACAGTAAAATTGATAAACTATTAATAATTTATCATTAGTCATATTTTATTTTATACCCTGTAGAACAATTTTGGTAAGATATAGTTGGGAAGGAGAACAATAGAATTGTCTTTATTGAATAAACAACCAATCAGAACTATCTCCAGCATCTCCATTTATCTCACAACTAGAGGCCTGGTGCACAAAATTCCTGCACTCAGGGGTGGGAGGATGGGTTGTCCCTCAGTCTAACCTGCACCCTCTTGCAATCTGGGAGACCTTGGGGGATGTCCCACTGGCAGCTTAGGCAGGCCTAAACCATCAGTTGGACATCCTTAGCACTGCCATGAAGGTGGGAGAAGTTCCCACCGCCACCTTTAAGCTCGCCAGCTGTGATCCCAGCTTCTGGCTAAGCCATGCTACCCCTGTGGGAGAGCACTGACCACCAGGAGGCAGCTCCTGCATTGAACACCTGCCCCCTGGTGGTCAGTGTGCATCATAGCGACCAGCCATTCTGCTGTTCAGTCAATTTACATATTAGCCTTTTATTATATAGGGTGATGGTTTTGGTTTATATTTAGTAAAAAAAAAAAAAAAAAAAAAAAAAATAGAAAGAAAGAAAAAAGAAATCCGAAATATGACAAAGTGGCTTGAAATAGTAGGAAAAAAAAGTCAGACAATAGTGTGGTGAAGGCCTCAAGAATGTGGGTGAAGAGGGTTAAAGGGGAAAAAAGGAGGACAACTGTAATACTTTCAACAATAAATATAAATTTTTAAAAAATATGTTAGACTGAACCAGTCATAATTTATTTTTCTTTATATTCTATTTTGTTATTTGGAAGTTTTTTTTTCCCTTTGTTTTTTAATTCTTCACATCAGGACCTGTTTTCACTGATCTTTACGGAGAGAGGAAGGGAGAGAGAGAGAAATATAAATGTGAGAGAGACATACCCATCGATTGCCTGGTTGCCTCCTCTACACTCCCTGACAGGGAATTAAATTCACAACCCAGGGATGTGCCTCAATGGGAATCAAACCTGTAATCTTTTTGGTGTACAGTATGATGCCTTCATGAAAAGTTTTAGTTTTGCCTTCATGAAAAATTTAAAGAATATTTATAGCAAGTTTATCAAAATATTAAGAAAAACATAAGTTAACCAGATTGATTCATATTTATGTCTATAATTATATATAGTAGTTATTATATAATATTCATAGAGTCTATTGCTGACAGAGTGGCCTGAAACTGTGTTTGGGAGCCAATGCATTTACTGACATTTTTTTTTTTAACATATTTTGTTAAATGTTCTAGCACTGCCTCCCTCCCCCATTTTGTAATTTTTATTTCTACTGGATAGAAACTGAAAACTTGATTAAGATTAGGTATTGAGGTGCAAGTAAAAAAAAGATCTGGGATCCTAGCTGGCTACAGAAGGTTGAGTGGGGAGAAAAATTGCTTGAGGAAGCAACACTTGTGAGGGGATGCCACTGCCTGCCTCCTAGACAAGAGTGAATCCTCACTACAACCTTCTTGAGAAGGAGCTTTGGGTTGTTTTGTCTTTTTCTTTCAGTTGAACATAATTATTGGCAAAATCAATTGTACTTAGGAGCTAAAAATTAGTCATTATCAGGTTTTTGATTGCTCAAAGTAGTTGAGTTGCTCAAAATAGTAAGCATGGCTGTTCATCATTATTGAGTGTTTTTCAAACTGTGAATCACAACCCATTAGTGGGTTAAGAAATAGGTTATGGCCTTCATTATTTTTTTAAATTGCTAATAGAACATAAGATACCAAAATTCATCAAAATGTGTTTCTTCCTATAGCTCACACTTAAACAGCTGATAGAGTTACATATACTGACTCTTGGTTTAATTTTGTATGTCATTAAACGTTAAGCATCAATATTGAAGATGAAA